TTAAATAAATCGATTTTATACTTTATAAGTCTTGTTCAAGATTTTAAAGCTCGATTCATGACTTGGTTGGTTCGGGGCTTTAGCAATCCAATATGGGTTTTGGGCATGAAAATATTGAGATTTACTTAAATTTTAATCAAGAAAATTTTGTTTAATTGATTATTAGGTGCATCAACAATCCAAAATAAAATATTTTATTATTTTAGATTCTCTAAATGGTTCCTAACGAGACCTTATATCGCAGAAGTTTTGACAACTCGATTCCTATAGGTTCAGTGAGTAGTAATGTGCATTTATAAGCATTTACTATTTCATATATTTAGTATAAACTTTGATTTTATATAACAAATCTGATTTCTGAAAATTTGATTAAATTCTGTTATAAAAGTGTAATAAGGGACATGTATATAATTTCAAAAATTGTATAAAAGAAACTATCTGTTAATTACGTTTGACTCTGTACATGAAAAATTATGTTAAACTGTTTATGTTTAATTTAAGGGAGTTGAGATTTTAGAATACTGTAACTAATGACAATAGGCGTTAGATTGAATGCACCCTATATAGTATTTCTATGTAGTAGGGGTAGTGCTAAACTCTCGTGTTGGACCAACGCGAGACTTGTATATGTGTTTATGTGTATATAGGTATATGGGCATATGAAGATGCTATCTTTTGATTTCTGCTAACTACAAGGTCACTTTTTGATATATGTTTCTGTTCTGAATTACGAACTTTCTAAAATCTCTTATAATTGTAAAGGTTTTGTTACACGATGAAATTTCTAATTTATATGTTATATATGTCATTTATTTTCATAAATGCATGTTATTATTTACTAGGTCTGTCGACCCACCTTTATTATTTTTCAATTTCAAAGTTTGATTCTCAACTAGATCCTACTGTTTAAGAGAAGTCTTTTATCTCTGCTGCTTCTTTTCTTAATTAAAAAAGTTTGTTATTTCAATTTTATCAAATTTGTATTTCTGAGATTTTTAGATACTTCAATTTGACTACAAGCATGTTTTTTATGGATATATTGACAATTTGGTTAAGTTTTGAATTAAATTTTATTTTCAAATCTATATGAAATTTTGATTCAATTATATGTTGAGTTATTTATTAGGAAACACTAATGCCAGTCACGCATCCACTTTTTGGATCGTGATAGAGTACATATGTTACATGTGTATTTATAGATATTTTGAGAATTATGATAAATTATTTATTTGTAATTATCTTAACTCTAAATATTTACCTTTATCTTATTTGTAATAGAAAAGATAATATTTCTTAACACATATATCTACATATAGAATTTACATTTTGCTACAAGATGATTAATAAATACAATAAATTAAGAAATTAGTGACTAAAAATCAAATATTGCATCATGATATATATCATATCCTGATATGTAAATAAAACACACACACATATATATATGAAAAAAAGGATTACATATGTTTAATTACAATGCATATATATACATAGACACCCCTATACATCCATATATATATATATATATGTATATATATTATTGTAAAGAAATTAATTATGTGATTGCATTTTGACCAAATGTTTAAGAAAATGATATGTGAAAATATTTTTCAAATTAGTTTTGGTTTTTAGTACTATATATATATATATATAGAGAGAGAGAGAGAGAGAGAGAGAAGGAAACAAAATAAGAAATTAGTTATTGAAAATAAATTAATTACGTGATTTCTTCTTGACCAAATGTCTGAGAAAATGGTATGTAATTTTTTTTAATAAATTGGTTTTGTTTCCTAGTATTATAAAAGATAAAAGATTAATAAGGTGTTGTTCATTTACGAGGAAACATAATACTATTTTGAATTAATTTTATTATAAATAAGGAATATAAATACAAAATCAACATATTTATTAGGCCTAGGGGAGCCCACCAACTTTTTGAACGCCATCGGATAATTTAGAGGGAGAGGGCTGTGGTGGAGAGCACATAGTGGTATACGGCTGCATATGCACCCAAGGGCGTTCCATCGTCCGATCACCTCAAACTACGGAAGATGAAGATACCGCTGCTCTCTGACTCAATCGCTGACCAACACGTGGCGGTTGAAGTCCTATGAATATCCGTCGATCCCTGCACGCTCCAAAATGACTGGCCACGACGGGCGGCTTGTATTTTTCCAAGTTTGGCATTGGCGAGGTTCAGGAGTTAGTACCGTTTGGTGTTTGGTGCGGGGAGTAAGATATAGGTTAATAAAGTAGATAAGATAAAATTTATCTTATTTGTATAGTAATAATATATTTATTATATATTTATTTTATTTTATAATAATTTGGATAATAAATTGAATAAAAAATTAAATTATCAAAATTATCCATTCTCTCACAAGCTTCCCCTTCTTTCTGCTCTCCAGGTGGTGACTTGCTTGCATGTGGATTCGGCGCCTGCGTGAGCTCTGGCGCTTGCACCTGTGACAGTGCGGTGTTCGGTGTTGCGCGTAGATCTGCCACTCACACTATGCACAGATCTGCAAGTGCCGCACCTGCAGATTTGTAGGCACCCGGAGCAGGCGCCTGAGGATTCGCAAGCACCGTCGTGAGCGCCTATAGATCCGTAAACAGTAGCGTGAGGAGAGGAGAGGAGAGGAGAAAGGCGGGTGGTGGCATGAGGAGAGGAGAGGCTGGCAGTGGTAAGGAGAGGAGAGGGTTTGCAGGGGCAAAATTGTCTTAAAAAGTTTTACACGCGTGAAAAAATTTTACACACTCGGTAACCTGGGATAAATTTTTCCCGCCTATGCTGATAAGCCTGTTGCCTGGATTTTTATCACGTCTTGTTTCACGCGTAGCGAACACGTGATAAAGCTAATAAGACAGAATAAGTTTTATCTTATCCTACATTCTCAACACATCCGAACAGCCCTTAGATATGATGAAGCATTCAACTACCATAATAAAGAGACAGATTTTGATGCTGCTTCAAGCAAGTAATGTATTTTATTTTTATATTTTTTCCAAATTATAACATGGGTTATATTGTTTGTAATTTGAGAAGCTGTAAACGAAGATGGGGTTGAAATAGAATCATTATTATGAGTTTATACATACAATCATATATATGTGTGTATGTGTATGTGTATGTGTATCTGTATATACAGCTAATATATATACCTAGCTTCATCTGAAGTAGTGGTCACAATATGGCAAATTTTCAGAATTTGAAATTAAATTAATGTTTATTGTTTGTTTTTAAGAAAATGATTGAAAATAGTTTGACAAATGTCATATGAACTTCAACAATGCCCTTAAACTATAGGACAAAAATGAGTCAATAACAATTTGGTACTGGGAGGACAATTTTTGATTTAAAATATTATTTTTAATCAATTCAATTCTCGTTCTTGTCCATTTGGCATCATGGAGGCACATGGAATGATTTTTGAAACATAAAATTATATAAATTTTCAGGCATTGTTTCCACGGTATAGACGTTTACTTTGATAATGCTGGTCATAACATATTAGAGACCATTCTCAATCATGTCAACAAAAATGCTCTTATTTTACTCCATGACATGATTTTGGATTACATTATGGTACATAAATTACTACTTCACCATAATAATTATTATTATTATTCTTTTTATTTTCCATCTTATTATTTTTATTGACACAAAAAAAGAAACCTAAATACGGAAAAATGTCACCCGGAAAGTTGGATGATATATTAAATGGTAAGTTATGCCTTGCAACTTTGTCACATGGCATATCAAAACTTCTCTTGATGGCATTACATAATTAAAGGTGTAAATATTGGTTGCTGTGCAGAAATGGACAGAGAGAAAAGGGGTGAGGAAACCTACTAAACATTGTGGGTATAGAAGTGAAGATGAATGGGTTTATGATGAGTTCATACTCGAACCGGTTTGGAGACTTTGTGAAGGAGACGGAAGGCTACTTAAAAAAAAGGGAAATATTAACTCCAAACACAAGGTTTATAATGGCATAGAGAGCTTCCAGAACTGTTTTGCCTCCATCTTCACCAGCTCCAATGTTGGAAAAGTTGTCATTCAAGTCAAGCCATAATTTCTAATTAAATGCCTAATATTTCAGCCTTTTCTAAGACAAGCAAGGGCTTTTATGTCCTTTTATCTGCCCTTATTTCGATAATGGATTAATTTCTGAATGCTCTTTATTTAATGAGATAATGAAGAATATCTATTTAAATATGTTTATAATGGGGAGAGCCTCTTTTATCTTTCAAAAACTTTTTGATGTTTGGATATTGCCATTGTTATGCTCTTGAAGTGGGATAAAGTTAATATAATCTTTTCAAAAAATTAAACAAGAAATGAAAGTAAAAATAGGTTTTTCATTGATTATGAGAATAAAAAATCATAATCACGGAAAGATATAGCAGTCCCCCCAGATGACCCGAAACAAAGTAAGGCGCCAAGAAACTGAAATGAAGTTGTCAGACACAGCGGACATTAACATTATAATAATCATAGTTAGACGTCCTCTAAAACAATGAACAAATATACTAACTGCTTTGCCAACGAAAATTATGTACAAAATTACTTGCTAAACGCAGTGTTCTTGTCATAATCACACAGAGAAGAGTTGTTCCAAAAGCACTCAGGCAAAGAAGAGTAAAAGTCGAATGTCATATCATCATCGAACTCTGGCAAATGTCCATTTGAGCTGCTTGAACTAGCATAATACCAATTAGGTCCGGAGGAAGAGGAGTTATTGGTAAGTCCATGGACAGGCCGGAGAAGATATATTCATCGTACTCCAGTGCCATCTTTTTTAACGGAAAATTTCTCTCCCTATATATAATGCCAAAAATTATGTCTCATCCTGAGAAATAAAAATAATAGTAAATATGTTTTTCCTATTTAGTTATTGTATTATTTCTTTTTCGGCAGCATTGAACTAAAAAAGGTGCTTTTCCTGAGTGGGCTTCTACCCAATGTATCCTTTGCCTTCGAATATTTCCGCCCAAATTTAATTTGTAATATCTTATTTATAAGAAGGAAAATATAAGATGAGCAAGGAATAGGAGCTAAACTCACCATTGGAAGGTTGACCAGGAGCTGAACCCTCGCCGCCAGTTCCGGCAACATCTTCCACTGCGCTGCCGTGGACTTCCACCATGCCACCACCATTTGTCACCTCTTCCGCGGCCGCATTATCAGCTCCAGGCCTTGTTTGGCTGTCTCCAATTACACTTGTCTGAGAGAGAATAGCTTCTAGAAGCACAGTATTATCCCCTGAATTCCAATATCAGCTTCTGACTCCGCCAGTGTCGGGTGGAAGGCAGGGAAATGGGTTGCCGACACAATTACCTCACCAAGCGAATTAAACGAGCCCTCTGTTTGTTCAGGTGGTGCAATTACGTCATTACCGGCAACGCTTTGTGCTGTTGGCTCTGGCGTTGCCCTGAAACAAGCGAATTAAAGGACGTCACCTCCCCAGAAAATCCGCTGCTACGGTCGCCGCTGCTACTGTGTTTTGGGAGGAACTGTAAGCCGAGAGGAACGAGCCACCACGGTGCTGCGTTAAGCCGGGCAAAGTCGGATAGTTACAATGGCCACACGAAATTGAATAGGGGCTAAATCGTGAGTAAACATCGTACGGTTGCCGCCGCTGTAAGTGATTATTAGGGTACAAGACGTTCGTCGGGTATACGGGCAACGTTGCTTTTTGGGTCCCTTTAATTCTTGTATTCCAAAAGTTTTTTATTTTGTTGTCGGTCCGTCCAGGTAGCTAAAAATAATACAAAATAGAGAATAAGATACACATACAAAGACATATGATCACGAGAAAATTACCCATTTAACCCACGAACCAAGAAGCCGATTAGTGATTTAGGGGTGTTCCGTAGCCCAGCTTACTAAGCTTACAGTCCATTTTCAAGCCGAAAGGCCTAAAAGATCAGAATTGAGGACCAAACAAGCCTGAAGCCAGAATTTAGAAGCTAATTGACTCGTATGACTTCTGGGCTTTTATTATTATTCTTTTAACTCAAAAACTAATGCGGAAGTCAAAAAGTAATAATTCTTTTTTAAGGCTATGGATTCAAGTTAAAAACAAAGAATTTTAGAAGTCAGATGCTTTAAAATCATGGCTTGTACATTTTCTAGACTTAAAGAATAAAGGTTACTAAATAAGCCTAAAATATTTAACAGCCCTTAAAGTCACAGTCTAAAACCTCGTAAGGGGGAGAAATCTCACCAGGGACGCATACGAGCCATTTATTGCCGTGCTTTGAATGGAATTCAATGTGAGACTTTCTTCATCCGCCGAAAACGGACCCTTCTTGAGATTAGGCCGGAGGTGGTTGACCCATCTCAGTCTGCAACTTTTCCCGCTCTGAGCAACCTAGTGTTGTCCTGATCGAGTTCCAATTCCCTTCGCCATTCTTCCTTACGTGCTCCGTCAACATGGCATCCTCCGCTATTGTCCAAGGCCCTTCCTCAGCTGTGGCATCATGTGGGAGAACCCGAAAACGCCATCGCTGCCGCCGCCTCCTGCCATTTCATCTGCGTGGCCGTCGGATCCACCGCTAGTGCAGCATCCCACCATCTCCCACTCACTATTATCGACCTTACGAGTTACTACTCTCAACTCTTGGTTTGTCACTAGTCTCACTGCTGCTGTCTACCCTTGCCTAGAAGACGTAGAAAAATACTAAAAAGGTGACAAAATAGAGAGAGAGAGAGAGAGAGAGAGGAAGAAGAAGAAGAAGAAGAAGAGAGAAATAGGGTTTCAGTGAAAATGACAATTCCATGTTCCCCTAATTTCTGGATGGAATCTGATGAAGGGAGTTGTTCATATTCGCTGAATTTGGCAGGTGATTACGTGACTGGGGGATCGAGTGGGTCCCCCACCTGAAAATTTTCCTTAAGCGGCTAGTGCGAATTTATGACACTCGGATCATGCTTTGGATTCTTTTAAACCCAAAAATAAATAAATAAATAATAATCCAATGGTCGTACTTTTCAAATTGTGATATCGGATGTCTACTTCAGATCTTTATATCCTGTTCCACCATGATATTTTAACCTTTTCATTTAATGCCATTTTCTCACGCTTGTAAAACTCACGCCTGTTTGGTTTAGTAATTTTTTATTTTTATATTCAATAAAAATAGAAAATAATAATAATGAAAATATGTTTGGTAGATTATTTTTTTTATTTTCTGAAGATGTTTTCTTAAATGGGCTGAAAATTGATAGCAAAAAAATTATTTTCAATATTTTTTATTCAAAATTGAAAATGTAATGACATACTTGTAAATAATGTGATTTTTAATATTTTTTTTCTTTTATCCTTCTCTTTTGTGCTACTGTTCATGGTCGCGCTATTGTTCATGGTCTGTCATCCTAAGCATCATTGTTGATTCTGCATTGCTTGTTCATTGTCCTGAGCATCGTCATCAAGTCTACATTGCATGTCCATTGTCCTGAGCATCATCCATCAATTTTGTCAACAGAATCAAAATCCATCAATTTTGTGAGCAGAATCAAAGACTATGGTTAACTGCGCTATTGTTGACCATCAAAAAGAAAACTTTCTGTTGCTCAGCTTGATTTTTAAAAGCACGATTTGATGACTCAATCTGATCTGAATGTTCGTTGCTCTGTTTGATCTATGATTAATGGCAACAAATCGCAGTCCTACTCGATCAATTTGAGTCATGAGCAAGCATTGGAAGTTGATTGCATCAAGTGTCTTCGAATCTTACAAAAAGTGATCGATCTTAGTTTAAAACCTTTTCAACACTCAATGCCTATGAGAGTCAATGCATGACCCTTAGCAGTGGGTGGCTACAAGAGAGGAGTTGACAGGTTTGCTTGATGCAAAGAGGGTGCAAGATTAGGGATGATGAACAGTGACATCTTTCTTACGATCTAGTCTCTTATTTCTTATTTATTATTCAATCTGGTGCTCAAACTTTTTTGACTTCTATCTAACCTTTAAAATTTCTATCTTTCACTTGAACTTTATAAAGAATTTCATAAGTCTAATTTTATTCAATTAAATTTTTATTTTTAATTTACTAAAAATTAGTACACCAAATATATTTTCATTTTTCTGAAAATAAAAAGTAGTAAATCAAACCAAGCATATTTTCACTATTCTGAAAATCTAGAAATGAAAATCATTTTCAAAGAATGAATATAGAAAGGGAAAATAGAAAACATTTTAGTAAACCAAATAGACCCTTAACAAGTGCTGATATTCTCAAAGGACTATCTACTTTTTTTTTTCCAATCTTAATTTTTTTGCCCTTTGTGCAAGTATTTTTTTCATTTTACAGTTTGATATTAATTTTATTTAGACATGCTAGATAATAATATTTAATTTAAATTGGATTTAAATTTGATTCAAATTTTAATAATTCTAATTTGATTCAAATATTCATAGACTAAAGTCGACAATAAATATGCATGACCTAAAATAAGTGAATTGGATTTTTAATTGAATAATCTAATATTTTAAAGATCCAAATTTGAATTTTGATAATATTTTTAATTAATTAATAATTATATATAATGTTAATAAATCAAATTTAGAGAAAATAAATTGAGAAAATTAGAAAATTGAAGTATTATTAATTGATGGAATAGATTTAACAAATTTAAATACAAAAGAGAATCTTTTTTTTATCGAATTGAATTTTTTTTTATTAAATTTAAGATTATTTATTAGATTTAAATATAATTTAGTAAATACATATATTATAAGATTTTAACTCATATCCAAATATGAAAATATATAATTGAATTCAAATTTAAATTTGTTTGATATGATTCAAATCTAACTCATTTATCATATATAATTTTTTTTTTACAGATTTAAGAGAGTTTGTTTATAAATTAAAATTTTCTTGTGAAAATATTTAATAATTATTGGTAACAAAAGTCGGGACAAGTTGAGAATAACCAAAAGGCCATTGCGCGAGGACTCAGGCAATTTAATACGATAACTCGAACCCAATTTCAGCTTCCGAGGCCACAGGGGAACCCGAGCAAATTACATATTTATATAATAAAGTATAACATTTAATAATTAATTAAATAAGTTGGGTGAGTCTGAGTTGGGTTCATCTTGATTTTTGATTTTCAATTGGATTCAATTTTTAATCTAAAAATCCAATCTAACTGAATAAATTACAAACATCCCAGTATTTTAATTTTCATAAAAAGAAAAAATGACTGCGAGATTTTACTATTCTTGATTTTAGAGCAAAGCGTGGCATCTTATTAGACCAAAGCTAGGTAAATGAATTTGTTCTTAAAAAAGGCGGGGGGGGTGTTGTGCGGGGTGCGGAAGAAAAGGCAAACGGTATAAGTTATAATTATCTTGTACTCACGGCATGCTTGTTAGTAGATTGTACCAAACATATCCTTTCAGAAAGATAAGCTTGAACCTGTCAACAGAGCATATTCATCTTCCTATGTAGCCCTGTTCACAATTTCAGTCCAAGCATGAACCGGTCCAGAATAGATCAAAAAAATATTGAATAAGATTGGATCGACAATTTTCAGTTCAGTCCAATTTTGAACTATGAAAGTTAGCAGTCTGATTACAGTTCAAGTTTTTTGAATCTAAACCAGAATTAGAATTGGAATTGTAAAAAAATAGGTGAATCGGAACTAAGAACAAATCAGGAATGAAGCATGAACCGTGAACTGAAACTAGGAATAAATGTTGAATCATGAACTGTGAACCGAAATCAATAATGAACTGTGAACCAGAATCAAGAATAAACTGTGAACCGGGACCGTGAATAAACCTTGAATCATGAACCGTGGACCGGATTGGAAATAAACTGTGAACCATGAATGAACCATAAAACCGTGAACAAATAATATATAAATCTAAAAAAATACTAATTAAACTCCTCATATTCTTACTTCTAATAGAAAAATTATAAAAAGATATTAACTTCATGTCAAATGGGATTGGTTGGCTTAATACATTAGGTATTCAAAATACGTTATAAATTATAATTTTAAAAAAATTAACATTTTAATCTTTATGATAAATTTTCTTCTATTTTTTAGAACTGATATCCACCTAAACCAAACTTAAGGGGATGCTTGGTTTCCTAATGCACTTAAATTTTCAATTTTTTCCAATACAGATTAATAATTTTTATTTTGTTATGATACTCAATTACTTTAAAAATAAATTTAATATTTTTAAAAATAATAATTTTTTTAATATTAATATTTTAAATATGTGCGATAATTAAAAAATGTTTTATATCCATTATTTAAAAATAAATTTACATATTTTTCTAATCCTTTTGGAATTGAGTAATTAGAAAATTTAATTTAATTTCACATATTTAGCCATTAAAAACATTTTTTTTATCCAAAATTATCAAATATTTATTTACTCACATGAGTCACAATTGAAATATTTCTTGTGAAATATATCTTTTAATTATTCTTTGTTTATTAACTAAAAGAGTCATGCATTCCATCTACTAGTCAATAAATTAAAGTAGCTAACATGTAAAAGAAAAGTTATTTTTCAATGTTTTAATAGTTTAAATATATTGGCAAATAGATTATTTAAAAACTTTTAAATGATGTATAAGTTAATAAATAATTTTTTTAGCAAAATCAAATTAGACCGAACAAAAACGTGAATCAATTGAAATTAAATCGAACTATGAAATGAACTGAGGATGAACAGCAAATGAACCGAGAAACAAATCGTTAAAGCACCGGAACAAATTGGAACCAAACCGAACTACGAACAAACCGGAACTGAAATCGGAACTGTGAACTAACCCGAATCAGCATGAACCTTAACCAAAATTGAACGACCTTCAAAATTCAGTTTCAGTTTATATTTTTCTGGGACTAGAACCAGAACTGGTAGCCCGATTTTGATTTGGGTCAGTTCAAGAAGGGCCATGAATAGGATTATTCCCATGTGGTGTACCCCAGGGTCTGGAAAGACGTCAAACTTTTTCTTCCTCTAAACTTCAATTGGTAATATTGGTTTTTTAACCAAACAATGTCCTAAAAATTGACAAGAGGTGAAAAAATCACCCCCAAAAGGAAAGAGTAATTTATTACTGTAGTTAGGGGGTGAAAATAAATTATACAAATATTTGAAAATGTCAAATATGTTAGAAAAATTATTAGTATGATTGTATCTCATGATCAATAATAGGTAAAAAATTAATTTTGGTCTCAATTGTAAAATTGCTAAAGTTTAGTATGACTTGTTAACCTATTTGGTCGTATTTATTTAAATTGTAAAACTATATATTATATTATATATATAATTTATTTGATATAGTTATATTTAAAATATATTTTTATAGTTTGTTATATAGGCCAATTTGTCAAGCTCATAAATTAGGTCAAATACAATTAGATCTATTTTATTTAAATAAAAAGACCAATTTTTTAATTTCGACCTAACTTAATTAATAAATGAATTAAAACAAATAAAGCCAAAACAGTCAGGCTTATTCTATTTAAATAAAAAGACTAATTTTTAATTTTGACCTAACTTAATTAAATAAATGAGTTAAAACAAATAAAGCCAAAACAGGCCAACCTATTCTATTTAAATAAAAAGCCTAATTTTTTAATTTTAACTTAACTTAATTAAATAAATGAGTTAAAAAAAATAAAGTCAAAATAGGCCACGCACGAATGGCCTGACTTATTTTTACACATAAATCTGATTTAATTAGATAAAAGAGTCTAGTCAAACCAAGTTAATATAAGTTAGATCACGAATGGCTCGCGCACGACTCGACTTATTTCTGCCCCTTGCCAGTGTCATATTTGCTATCATTTAAGCTAATATCTTTTTTGACATTTTTTTCTTAACTTTAATTTTATTAGGGTTGGGAATTAGCTTTTTTTTTTACAGTTTAAAAGACCATTTTATCGAGAGAAGAAAGTCTAACTATTTCAGAAGCTATTATTTTATAATTTTAAAAAATATTAGTCAATTTAATTACTCTTTTTCCAGAATAAATGTAATTTGAAATACTTGGATCCCCGTGCTTATGTATTGAATGTAGCGAGATAGGGTGAAGGGAAAAATTTATAGTTTATTTTATTTAGCCAAGAATAGAGTTTCGCAAAAATTGATGTAGCCCACAAATCATATAATTTTTTTTTTTAAAAAAACATTGAAGTTAAAAAATGAAATCAGCATTGTTTAGGAGATTGGTAGATTTAATAGGATTTTTTTTTTTTTTTTTTGGGTTACTAGAGGGGCGCAAAGTCTAAAAAGAACAAAACAAAACCTACTTAGGGGGGTCGCCACTCTATCCATCCTCAGAAAAAGACCTAGATCGAGGAAAGGGAAACCACATTCCTTAAAACCCGACTTCGAATAAAGACTCGCTTTAACAAGGAAGTCAGCATCTTCATTACATCCGTGACTGGCATAAGTAAACTCTACCTACAACTGGAGTTGAAATAAATTATTAATTCTCAATAAGATGAAAGACGTTTCTTCGTTGACACTGGTAAATCCCATGAGTGAATCAACAATCAATTTGAAATCTAATTCCATGATAATCCTTCTAATGCCCAAGTTCCAAGTAAGAAGGAGGCCATTCCAAATGCTCCGAGCCTCAACCACCTATACTTAAGCCTCCCCAGATTTTTCCATCACAGTTCTCAAGAGACCACCGTAGCCTGCTACCTTACAAGACAAGTTAAGATCACCATCTAAATTAATTTTAACCCAACCTTCCTTAGAAGGGACTCACATTGCCTGATCACAGAAGGTCCCTATGTCCCTAATTCTATTTAAAATCCCATTATAAAGCGAAAAACAGTCCATCGTACAATTGTCAAGTACTCTCCCCCGCTTCATCGTCTCTGAAAGCCTTCTCGAATATACTCTGTTTCTCCAATTCTAAATAAGCCAAGTAATAATGGTCCATTAACCAATCCCAGCCTCAGAAGAGAAGATCTCACACTGACCCTGATATTAAGCTCGATCTAACATGAGGTCAAGCATAAAAAACACTACTCTATGGGAAGTAGGAATGAGGCTGCACGAAATACCAGCAGTCGCAGGAATGAGCGGCATCTTGAGACTGAATAGATTGAAATTACATCTCCGACAAGACAATAAGGACCCGCGATAAACTCAGTTGTGTTTAATTGGGGCCCAACCAATTGGGCGAAAGCCCACTAACTTCCTCATGGACAACATTACGAGTTTGGGCTCAGCAGTTGACAGAAGTAAGAATCAATAAATACTTTAGGACTCTGAACTTTTTTTCCACTTTATGCAGTTCTTGGGTAATAAACATACATTCATCTCACTACTTTAGACCTGACCTGTAATTGCATTATATCTTTCTCTTTTACAGTTCACTCAGAAAAACTTGTTTGATAAAACTGAAGATCCAGTGGTAAATGTATGATTGAATCATTTTACATGAACATTAAATATAAATTAAAATAGAACAATAAGAGTAACGTACATATCAATGTTGAATCAATAATCTATTAAGATTGATATTCAAATTTTTGTTAGTATCTAATTGTATACAATTTTTTAAACACAATAATAGGTAAAAAAATAATCATTTTAATAATGAAATAGAATATAGTTACTTATATATAGGCTTAAGTATCTTATTTATTTTAAAATATCCTACCTATTTATAAAATTTCTATATTCAATTTGCACTGGACTGCCCAATGCCTAGCAATAGAATACGTACAACTCATGACACACTGACTTAGATGGCTACATCACCAAGCATGGATTGAATCATACACTTTAGTCAATTTTTCATAACAACAAAACTAAATAATTAGCTTTAACCAATTTTAAAATTTTCAAACAATTATTTGTTAATATTTGAAAATTTAAAGTACTGATGAATGATAGATGAAATGAAAATAACGTATTTGTAATAAATTTTAGCACTAGTTAATATATTTCACGTAAAACTCAAGCCCAATTTTAAAACAAATTTCAAATTCAAATAGTTCAATATTAAACATTACCAAAAATTAAAATATTTACACTTAAAAAAAAAGTCTTGGGTACTTTTGATATCAAACAGGCATTGTTACTCAAGAGCAGCATATGATATTTACTAAACTAAATTATCGCAAGGGCCATTAGCCACTTCGTCGCATGTTCAATGGGTTGAAAAATGTTTAAATAAGAGTAAGGATATTGTTATATTTTATATTTCGTACAGTGAAGTCGTATAAAATTCGGTTAAAATAAAATATTTAACAACGTCAGGATAAATTATCTGGGAGTAACACAAGTTCATCAACCGTCATTGGGGTCTTAAATTTTTTTGCACAACAATATTGTTACTGTTCACAAGTCAAATTATAAAATATACTCCGTTTCTTTTCTCTGTTTTACCTTCTTCGTTCACAGTCGTTTGCCATTCAAAGCGGAGATCTGGAATCGCTGTCCTTCACCTCCTGGAATCAACGTTACTATTCAAAGTGGAGATTTGGAATCTCTATTCGCCGTTGCCGTTTGAAGTAAATATCTGTACCTCCTACGTCGGAATCGCTATCATCACGCACCTCCGTAGATCTTCACTCCTGCACCTAAAATTTTTGTTCATAGATCTAGAGTTGTCGTTATTGTGCAGCTTCGCAGATTTGGAATCTTCATCACTTTTTGCTATCCGCAAATCTGGAATCAAGATTGCCATTCGCCGTCCACAATCTGTCCTTTGCCTCCACCTGACTTACCATGGTAGGTACAAACAAATAACGACCAAGGCAAGAATACCGACTGCAATGGTCAGTTCACTAGTTGCTTGGTGGTGGTGCTTTGGTGGCCCGATAGGTGATAGCCTCACCAGATGGAAGTAAAATATTTTTAATAATTTGTACATTTATCCGATTATTGTCTCTAACCTGGGAAAAAAATATATTGAAGGAGTGATAATAATCTAAGACACTGTTTATTAAACATGGCCTAAGCCTACTCGTTTATCCCAATTCCAACAGCAGTTTTGGAAATTTCAATATAATTAATCATGAGCTATCGGACATGGTTCAAAGGAGTGCTCTCACATTATTAATTGGCCAAAATTCAAACTCATTTACCCAGAAAAGCTTCCCTTTAATGATACTAATTATGCAAAGCAGAGGCAAGACTCAAGTCTGCATGATGAATGCACGCCTTCAAGGACCGGATTCGCAAGAACAAGAAATCCTGCAGATTCATCATCAAAAAGCACTCGAAATTTCTAAACTGACAAATAAAAGAGATGATTATATGCCAAAAATTTAAACTAACTGAAAATTTTCTTCCCAAATTCTTTCTTATTTTCGATGATCTACAGCAGAGAAAGGCTATCACTGGAAGACTTTTCCAATTTGTGAATACAGATTGCTCTAAGTAACCAATTCTGTGTATGACAAACAAAACTTCATTCTTCCTACTAAAAGTATAATCACATCAGATCTTTGACAAAATCAAGATTAAGTGTGTCGCGTATAATTAGAAACAACCCAAGACTTATCACAAACACAATCCCCGAAGACATTATCCCTTGCTCTATTTCTAGAGGGAGCTTCTTCCCACCTCTAGCTGCTTCTACGAGGATTAAAGCTAGAGTACCCCCATCAAGAGCGGGCAACGGTAGAAGATTTATAATTGCAAGGTTGAGATTCAAAGCAGCTGCAAATTGGAAAAGCTCATCAACGTTGGACCTTGCAACCTCTGCACCAAAAGCTATAATCGCCACAGGACCTGAAACTTTGCTTGCAGAATCAGAAAAATCAACAAAAATCTGCTTCAAGCTGTCCAAAACATTGGAAGACAATCCCAAAATTCACGGCCGGAGAAATTCAAGCCTCCAGGAGATTCTTGCTCTAACTTTTGTGACCCTAACATTTGGGGATAGTTGAACCCCTATTCGACTGAACCATCGGAATTCTCAACCGGGTTGATCCCAATTTCTAACTTATTTTTCTCCCCTTGCAATTTTGAGCAGCACGGTTCTGTTGGGACTTTTCTTGATCAACTCAACTACATTAGAAACTGACTTAGGCCCCGTTTTGAGCAATTCAAACCCCATTGATCCCCAGAATTACATCTCCCGGAATTAACCCATCTCGAGAAGCAGCAGAAAAGGGTCTCACTTGAGGCAACAAGAACACCAGGAAAGGCCTCTTGAACAGGCAAACCAATTGACAACACTTGCGTAAATAGTATCACATAAGCAAATACTATGTTTGCAATTACACCAGCAGAAACAACAAGAATTCTATCAAATATTGGCCTGTTTTTGAGCAAATCTTTGTCGTCTACGGGAATGTTGCTGTCAGGATCGTTATCAGGAAACCCTACGAAGCCGCCAAGGGGAAAAGCTCTTATCGAGTACTCTATGTTTTCTGAATTGAACTTAACCAAAATGGGACCGAACCCATGGCAAACTTACTTACACGAATGCCCTGGAGATAAGCCGCCAAGAAATGGCCTGTTTCGTGGACAATTATGATGCAGTCAAGACTGCAGCTGCTTCCAGAACTGGCTGCGCACTTTCGAAACCACCAAAACCGATCTGAGAAAACGCCGAGGTTCGTAACCTCTGTCTTCTCACATGTCTGATATTCCCGTACACGAATTGACTGCCGTGGATTGGAGGAGAAAGCGATTCTGAGAAGTGGGTTCTGGGTTTGAGAGTGAAAAGCGAGAGGGTGACATTGGATTGATGAATCTGGTGAGTGAAGAAGGAGATGGAGAAGACTGGCAGAGATGTGGAATCATAATGGCTTTGTAGATCTGATTTATTGGGAAGGTCTTAAGAGAGGAAGATTTGGGTAATGGGGATGGCACAGGAGGTGCAGAGAGAGAGCAGGAGAAGAGAAGATAGGATGATTCATGTTTACGGGTTTGTGGAGGGAAGCTTGCTTCCCGTCGGAACACTCTGTACTTCGAAGTTTACATAGCTAACGTTTTCCGCGTGTCACGTGCTTTAGCTCGTGTCTACGGAGAGTTTCAAGCACATATCCCCTCCGTTAATTATGAATTCCTTATTAATTCTCTCTACTTTTTATTTAAAATAAAACTATATGTCTTATGATTTGTATCATTTATTTACACATGTGTAAATCAAAATTTATTAATTTTTTAAATTAGCTTTATATTTACACTTTTTTAAAATTTAAATCATCCATGTAAAGTATTTAAATATTTGTAAAAATAAATTTTGGTTAGCAAAAATGAACCACTTCGTTAAAATACAAAATGGGAGGGTTGCAACTCCCTCATTTGATCCATAAATTAATTTATTATTTGGTAATGCATTTTTTTAAAAAAAATAATTAACTGATAGAGACTAAAAAAGTCGTTATATATTTTTTAAGTACAAAGAGGAAATAAACAAATAATTTTCTGAGTATGTAAACATTTTAAATTCGTTTATTATTTTTTCAAATTGGTCTCCCAACTTGTATCAATCCATTAATCTTATCATTTGGATTAGTATAACTCAAAATAAGTTAAAAAAAATCATGTAAGTATTTACGTTACAAGAAAAATATGTTAACATGGACCGAAATTGTTTAATTATTTTTCAAAATTTATATAATAATTCAAATTAAGTAAATAGCACTACTTAAATCTCAATATATATATATATGAAGATCATTTGACACTAATATAAGTATATAACACTTATAACAAATCTTATAATATTGATTTGAACAAATTCAATAAATAAGATTAATTATAACTATCTTCTATTATATTAATTTATAATTATTTTTTAATGATTAATTAACATTATCAAATAATTTTGAATCAAATTTACTGTGTAAATTTTGATGTAAATATTATTATATTTACACTAATATCAATTAATCTCATCTCAAGCCAATTATTATAATTGATTTAAATGTTTATATTACCGATTATTCTAATTAATTTAAAATCTTCGAATGCTGCTATTTTAATAATTTGAAATTTTTGTTAATGTATTATTTAAATTTTGTAAGTTATACAGACATCTACGTCAACGCTCACGTAAATTTTTTCAATTCGTTTTAAATTATAGTTATGCGGAATAGTGTTAATGCACGGATGCAAATCGGATGATTAATGCGAGATAAATAATCATTAGAGGATATATTTGAGACTTTTTACATATTTAGGACGAAATTTATAATTTTTTAACCTAAAATTTTTTAAACCGTGTGTACTGTGTGTCAACCTTCCGGTCCAACCACTTGGCCATCGTTGGGCGGTACACTTTGCAGGCCCAAGTGATGGGCATCTGTATTGATTAAGCATATGAATTTCACGTGAATACTCTACAGCGATTGGCTAGCTCCAAATTATACTTAGAATTATGATTATATTTTATATATCCTTATTTCTTCGGATTAGAATTTCTGTACTTTGTTTTCCGCCTACCAAAAACCTCCCCTTATTCATATATTTTTAGAAAAAAAATATAATAATTTTTATTTGTAAAAACTTATGAGTTACCTGCTTGAAATGTTTAAATCCAATTTGTTCAGTAGTACTTTCTAATATCTTATATACTATATCATGTTATTCTTAGAAATCGATATAAGACCGGATGTTACAATTTTCTTCACTTAAAATACTTGACATTCTCGTCAAGTCAAAAACCTGTATTTGTATTTAAACAGAAGAGGTCCAAAAATCTTTTTACTCTGATACTATTTGTAATGACCTGTAAAACTATTAGCTCTAACTTATTAAGCCTGAACCACTAATTCAAAATATTTAAATCTAAATTATTAAATAATAATTTCTAATATTTTATATTCCAGATCATGTTAATATCAGAAACTGATATCGGACTAGATGTCACATTATTTATTTATTTTGTCCTATTTTCTAATTGAATGAAAACATTCTACTTCCTTCAAATTTACTTAAATAATACTTAACAATATTTTTATCATGAGAAAATATATTCTTCTTCAAATAACTATTAATTGACAACTTTGTTAGAAAATGGAGGTAAAGTTAACCTAATTTTATATAATTTAGTTTTCTAATTAATTAAAAATTAAAATACTATTTGACTCACTTAATTTTTTTGAAATTTCTTATTTTCAATTTAAAAAACAAAAAATATAACTTTTGATAATTTAGTTTTATTATTTTTTTAATTTTTATTATAAATGTTGAAATAAAAATTACCTGAGTATCATTTAAGTTAAAAAAACTAAGTATCATTTAAACTAAAAGATAAATGAAATTAAAATATCATAAAAATTTTTAAAATTTGTAAAATTATATTATCAAAAAGATAGATTTTTTACTTTTTATTTTTAATTTAAAACTTAAAAATAAAAAATAATTTTTAAATAAATGAAATAATATTCTAATTTTTTTAATCTTATAAGTAATCTAAATAGGTGAAATTGAGTTACCTTTACCTTTTTTTTTACAAAATTATTAAATAAACATTAGTTACCAGTTAATTTTAAAAAGTATTTTTTCATAATAAGAATTGAACTAAGTCTTATCTAAGTAAATTTGGAAGAAAAGAAAAAATATTTTTTACACTTTCTAATTTGACATGAGAGCTTTTTAATTTGTTGTATAATATTTAAGTAAAAGAAATATAATCGAATATTCGTGGTTAGGTTAATCCAAATATACGTGTTTCTCTCGTGGGTCATCTGATTTTGATATCATACGAGTTCCAACAAAATAGCATTAATTAGACGTGTGAATCAACCAAGAAAATGGACAACATACACATATATAAACAAATTGCTCATCATTTCTGCATACAAGGACAATTAACACCTTCATGCAGGGCTATTTTATACTAATATTGTTTTTTATTTAATAAAATATGATAATTTTAAATTATTTATTTAAACATGATCAAAATTTTAAGCGTTAAAAAGTTGGTTTGAGTAAAACTAAATTCCCTTTAGTTCAAAACCAAAAATAAATTCAAATTGGGAGTTAATTTCACATAAACAAGTTTTCTAATGTACCTAATTTTGATCATATTTTGGTACATAATTTGAAAAGATTACATTTTAACAAATAATTTAGAAGGATTATATTTTGGTAAATAAAAAAATATTTATATTAAAAAAGTCTTCGTGCAGACCAATAAAATAATTGCATGCCTATTTAAAGCGCTAATTTTGGTCATTTCTACCATTAAACATGATTGGTTAATTCAGTAGATGTTTCCTAAAACTAGCTTTGAGTTATGACTTACTCATATATTTCCCTCCTCCACAAGTAATTTTTTTTTAAATACTATTTTTTATATGATGTTTGGTTTTTCTGAAATAGAAAAAGAAGTTTTTGGAATTAAATATTTTATTTGTAATTTTTTTTAAAAGATCGACTTGAACCTATGATGACGAAGTCTTGAACCTAAGATCACATAATTAACCACTAGTACTATTACTATTATATCCATGTTGAATGTCTGTGTAGTTTTTTAGTTACTTTTTATAAAGCATTATATAGCAATTATTTTAACAATTCTCATATACTGAATCAATATACCTTTAGTCTTATTCTAGTATTAACAGTCTAAAAATGGAATATATATTTTTTTATACTATCTAATATAGGATTCATAATATTTTTTTCTACTACAACTTTTGACATTTTAAAGTTTATGACTTATCAAAATCTTATCCTTTTTTTTAAAAATATTTGATGTGTAATTGACAAACTAATATCTCAGAACTATTTTTATACTAATCATCACAGATTTATTATTAGTTTTTTAAAAATATGTTAATTAAAATATATAATATTTCTACTTATAATTTAATTCGATGTGAATTATACGACATCATTTGTCAATGTATTTAATACGTGATCATACATATACACTTTATAATGGGGACTTTTGGTGTCGTATTTTCACCATGTGGATATATACGCAGCAAAGGATAGAACAAAATTT